ACTTTCCTTCCACATATCTATATTATTTCACATTGCTAAAGCTTACCCAAAGTTACAGAGCACTTTGAAGATTCATGGAAATGAGTGGCTAAACTAACTTTAATTTTCCCATCTAGAAGCAAAAAGCCTGTCACTCAGGCTTTGGGTGACATCCCACCCGAGGGAGTGGTGGGGCTGAGAAGTGGCTGTGGTGGGACAGTCTGCAGGGCCCTCATGGTCACTGCTAGCAAGTAAAAAATATCCCTGAGCATGATTTCAAAAAGAAGGAGATCTGTGGGATGCTTTTCTACCCAGTCTGGGGCAAAGAACCTGCATGCAGGCCTGCTTTGCGCACTGGGGTCAAAGTAAGCAGGGAGAGAGTACATGAAGCAAACCCCAGGGGTGCAGGAGTGCTGTGGGGAGGGCGGCTCTCCCACCTGGGTGTGCATGGCACCAGCACACCCTGCACCCACAGGGGTGGGAATGCACTGCCCAGCAAACTGCTCGAGTGGGAGCTATGCTTCAGCTTTCCTGGGAAGTACTCAGGATTCACAGACTGCAGCTTAGATACAGCTTCAAACACCGTAAAAGCACCTGTGGCCTGTTCCATGGTGTTTAAAAAAAAAAAAAAAAGGTGATTTTTTTTTCTCCTTTTTAGAGAAATTTATTTTTGTAGCAGCTTTTGCATGATACTGTGATACTGAGCATCGTTAGAATAGATCACGCCACACCAGCTACTGCTATTGAAATGCATTACTAGATTTTAGTGTGTCCAGCAAATACACCCTCAAAATAAGATAGATACTTAGCACATACATGCACACAAAGCCCCTTCTTGCCAAGTACAACTTTAATCACTTTGATGCTTACTAACTACACAGATACCTGCAATACCTACTGCATTGTCATCTTTCATCCCACCAATACAATTCAGGTAAAATGAGATCATAGAAGCACAGGATGATTTGGGTTAGAAGGAATGTTTAAGATCATCTGGTCCAAGCACCCTGCCATGCACCGGGACACCTTCCACTAGACCAGGTTGCTCAGAGCTCCATCCAGCCTGACCTTGAACACTACCAGGGATAGGGGCATCCACAACTTCTCTGGACAACCTGTTCCAGTGTCCTACCATTCTCATTGTAAAAAAAATCTCTTCCTTATGTCCAATCTGAACCTATCCTTTTCCATTCTAAAACTGTTGTCCCTTGTACTGTCACTAGAGGCCCTGGTAAAAAGTTCATCTCCATCTTTCTTACAGGCCCCCTTTAGATACTGAAAGGTGCCACAAGATCTTCCTGGAGCCTTATCTTCTCCAGGCTGAACAACCCCAACTCTCTCAGCCTGTTTTCATAGGAGAGATGCTCCAGCCCTCTGGTCATCTTTGTGGCCCTATTCCAGACTTGCTACGGCAGGTTGATGTCCTTCCTGTGCTGAGGAACCCAGAGCTGGATGCAGCACTGCAGGTGGGGTCTCACCAGAGCAGAGTGGAGAGGAAGAATCCCCTTCCTCGACCTGCTGGTCATGTTTCTTCTGATGCATCCTAGGATATGATTGGCTTCCTGGGCTTGAAACATTCATTGCCGGCTCATGTCCAGCCTCTCATTCACCAGTATCCCCAAGTCTTTGTCCTCAGGGCTGCTCTCAATCCATTCATTCCCCAGCCTGTATTGGTACCAGGGGCTGCCCCAATCCAGGTGCAGAACCTTGCACTTGGCCTTATTGAACCTCATGTTTTTCTCATGGACCCATCTCTCAAGCTTGTCAAGGTCCCTCTGGATGGCATCCCTTCCCTCCAATGTATCAACTGCATCACTCAGCTTGGTGTCATCCCCAAACTTGTTGAGGATGCACCTGATCATCAAACAGTTCTGGTTCCAATATGGACCTGTGAGGGCCACCACTTATTACTGATTTCCATTTGGACATGGAAATCAATGCAACCATCAATGCAAGCCAATTCCATATCCAACTTCCATCTGTCAAACCTGTATCTCCTGAATTCAGTAACAAGAATGTTGTGTGGGACTGTGTCAAAGACCTTACGGAGTCCAGGTAGATGACATCAGTTGCTCATCCCTCATCCACCAGCGCAGTCACACCATTGCAGAAGGCCACCAGACTTGCTGATAGTTTCTAGAATCCTCCTTTTTACCCTTTGTAAATTGGATGAGATGATACATCCAGAGTTGTTACCATGATGCTCCTCTCTACTTTTCTGTGCTAAACACACTAATGCATACTATTGGCCCAGGACAATCTGGCTGAGCCTCTTTTAATTTATTAACCCTTTCCCTCTAGTTCTGGTGCTTTCTTTATCACTTTATTGGTTTAAAGTCATATGCAAGAGATGCTTCCAGCAGTGAATTGGGAGTGGGGCTTTTATGGTGGGAAAACTGGGATCAAACCCAGCTCCACCATCATTCAGTATCATTGCCAATCCTTTTCCTATCTAATTTTTGCCTCCCAATCCTGCCTCACACTGGATTCTTCCTTGGCACGGCCTCTAGGGCCTGCCCAATCACTAGCAAAGCTGCAGGAAATTTTGCCTGACCAGAACGGACCCAGCAACCCATCCCTGTGGGGGCTGTTAAGGGTGGCTCCTCCTGGTGTGAGCCCAGAAACACAAAATTTTTTCCCCAAAAAAGTTATTTGTTTTTCCTGTTTTTCCTATCCTGTCCCTCTTTGCCTCTGCATGCTGGAGTAGGTGTGAAAGAAAAGCCCAGGTCACTCAGACAGTGGGAGGAAGGGAGCAGCCCCTGAGTGGGGCAGCCATTCCCAGGGGATGAACACCCCCGAGTGCATGGCCAAGCCTGTAACTCCTGCTCTTGCCAGGGAGGTGTGACCATGAAAGGTGAGCTTGCTTGGCATTCCCAGCGGTGTAGGGGTGTTATCTCCTGTCCATGCTCACTCATTGGCTGTCCCTGCTCAAAGGCAAGCAATGGGAAGTAATGTCTTTTGTGTGGCTGGAGACTTCTCGAATGCCATGGCCACTGCAGGGACTTCCCCATTTGGTAGGGTAGGGCAGCCTTTGGCAGGAGAGGGAACGTAGCCAGCACCAAGCAGGAAAGAGTTTTATTGCCTCTGTCTTTAAAAAGGAGATGTTTGATTTGGTTAATCTTTAATCAATGCAGAAGGGTGCAGCGGCAATAAAACTAGCCTACAGCTGCTCTGGAGGGGCTCCAGAGAACAGGTACTGGGAGCAGGCATCAGCCCTGGGAGAGCCAGCAGCAAACGGGGGCCAGGGAAAGCTCCTTTTTTCTGTGGAAAGGTACCATTTGGCCCTATTGGGATGGCACCTCCTGCAGCTGCTGGCAGAGACGTGTTAACTCGGGCAGAGCACAGCGGCAAAGGCTTGCGGTGGTGGCGGGCAGGGGGTGGAAAGGAGAAACTATCAAGTGCAAAATCAGGTATTTTATGTCTGCACTGATGGTGGTTGTGTCCCATGGACACGCTGAGGAGCCTCTGTACAGTTTCCCGTGCAGCAGGAGTTCTGTGGTCCCGTTTACTATGTGGCTAATGATTACAGGAAGTTTGTATTATTTCAGTTACGATGTACAGATAAGTGTAATATATTCCTGATAATAAATATATGCGCCAGTGCACCTGTGGGCTGGTGCGTACAGACTAGCACTCCCTGCTGTGTTTTCTGTGCACACAGAAACTGGGATGAATGGAAAACAAAGCAAAACCCCATTAAAGGGTCACCCCATTAAAGGATTACCCCATTAAGGGTAAAGACTGAAGCTAGACAATCAGCCTCTGGGCAGCAGGGCTGGTCGGCTGGGTTACCTAACTGTGGCTCACATGCTATTAAGTTCCCACGGATGCATTTTCTAAAGGTGTGTCCAGTATGTCTGGGGCTCCCAGATCAGGGATTGTGGTCTGCAATGTTTCTATTAAGGTGTCATGCTGCAGCACGTGGTAACAGGAACATTTCTGCCAGTGGTTCAGGCACAGCAGAAAAAAACCTGCACTCTCTATTGGAGTGCCAGTTCACTAAGTTTCAACACCCCATCCCCTGTGCCCTCACCCTGCCCTCCCACTGAGAGCCATAGAACTGCTTGGGCTTTACCACAAGGAATAAAAAGGGGGCAGGGCACATCCCACCTCAGAAACATGCCCGATAACATCTTCCTGAAAGACTTTTCACCAGGCCCCTGGCTTGCTTAGCCATGACAAGGACCAGGACTAAAGGAAGAAGCAAAGCAGTGTTTGGGGGCCAATGGCTCATTTGTCACAGGACTCAAGTGATGAAGGCAGAGGCGTGCAGCAGACAAGCCTCCTTCTGCTTGGTGGTTTCTGTGTTGTCCTGCAGGCCCTATCCTGGAAAACCCCACCAGCAGAACTCTTGGTTCACTACACAGTCCTAGTTTCCTGAGGCAACTAAACTTTGCAATGTGAGCAAAATTGGTATCACCTGGATCAATTTTAAGTTACCTTTGCAGGTTCTTGAAGTCCCACCTAATACCTGAACTGGTAGCACAAGACAGGAGCTGAGTCACCTTACTATCAGCAGCAACAACCTGCTCAGCGCTGAGCACAGACCCAGTCTGAAGCAAATTCCCCAAATTATGTAGCATCCCACCTGTCTCAGCAAACCCAAAAGACAGGGTAGAGTTACCACAAGCATCTCCCTGAGCAAGTGCTCCCCTGGAGGTATTGGAACAAGCTGGAAAACAGAGGCAGGCTTGCAAATGAGGGCAAACAATAGGC